CCCGCCAGGTGTGTGCCCAGGGGCAGGGATGGCCTTCTCCTCCCAGCCCGCTGCTCCACGCAGCCCTGGCTGCCCCAGCTCCTTCCTCTCTTGCTCGGCTCTCCCTAGGGCAGGACTCAGTCCTGCAGGGAGTGGGGTGCCACTGGGGTCCTTGTCAAGCCAGGACAATAGGATGACTTCTAGCCAAAGTGCCCTGCTGTCTGTGGGGAGGCAGGGTTTGTCTGACGGAGAGGTGGCCGTGCAGAGGTGGTGGGGGGCTCTGAACCTGACTCTGGCCAGTGTCTAACTGTCTCTGCTCCTGCCCCTCTGCAGGTGAGGCCTTCCACTCCTCAGAGCATCATCAGCACTCGGACCTCACTGCTCCTCCCAACAGTCCCACTGGCCTCCCCTCTCAGCCGCCAGCGCTGATCCCCTCCAAGCAGACGCCTGCCCACGCGGGCCCCTTTGGCTCGCCCCCCCACCTCCCCCTGGGCACCTCCCCGCAGGCCGCGCTCTTCCCAGCGCCCAGCACACAGGCAGCAGCCCCGAAACCGGCATCCGAGTCCCCTCCCACCGGCACGGTCTCACACAGCCCAGGGTCCTGTAAGAGCCCCCACCTGCCTCCTGCCAATGTGCCGCTGCTGAAGATGCCACCGCCGCTGTCGGGCTGCACTCACCCCTGCAACGGGCACTGCAGTACGTCGCTCATCCCTCCTGCCTCCCACCAGCTGCCCAGCACGAACAGGTGAGTAGAGGAGCCCTGCCTGCTTCCAGCCTCTCCTCGCTGGGCCACATGCCCTTTCTCCCTTCCACCCTTGCCCATGGATGCACTTTTTCCCGCGGAAGGACCAGCTGCCCTGGCCTGGTGGTGCAGAGAGCCGCTGTGTTTGTGGGCCCATTCCGCTGCTGCAGACCCAGGGTCTCTGAGGGTTGAGCTCTTTCTCTCCCCACATGTCTTCTCCTTGTGGTTGTCCTTTAGTACTGTGGTGCAGAAGAGACTGTGCTTGCTCCTCCTCCAGCTAATAGACGCAAAGGAACCACCTGGTCAACCTGCTGTTGGCCAACAGGACCTTTGTCAGTGAGACCCGTCGGGCAGCTGTGGCACTGAGCAAAGGTCCTCAAGAAGATGAAGCCTGTGGACTTTTGGTTCTACTCACCTGCTCCCCTGGCCCTCTTTGGGTTGCCTGTGCCCTGGACGAGAGAGAGCACGCTGAGTTGCGGGTGCTGGTTCCTCTCCACTGATTAGTGCTCCCTGCGGAGGGACAGGCCAGGTCCCGAGCTGGAGCTGGAGGAATGGCGCTGTGGGCCATGCCCTGGCCTCCCTGTCCCTGAGCCGGGTGGTCTGTGCCTGTGGGAGCCGGGCCTGCCTGCACGTGGGGATGTCTGGCAGCTGCATGCAGTTCCAGCGTTTCTCACCTGTGCTACCTGCTGCCCCAGTGAGTACTGCTCCCTGCCCTGCATCAGCTTGTGGCCTGGCAGGGGACACTGCAGCTTTGGTGTGCCAGCCTCCTGCCTGCCAGAGGCCCTGGGAGGCGAGGAGCTACCGATGTCTTCTGCTGTGGGCTCCTCTGGAGGAGGAGGATGCAGGGGAAGGGGTTCGTTTGCCCTGCAAATACTTCTGCTTGGGCCCAGGCTGCCCTGGGAGGGGTGTTCCTACATGCGTAGTGTGGGACAATTCTTGAGCCCCCCTGGCTCCTTCTCACCTCTCGCCCTTCCCCTCTCTCCTCAGGGACCCTTCTTGCAAAGGGCACAAATTCCCAAACGGTACCAGCTGCCACCCGCTGCAGCCATGCGAGGCAGATGAGGGGCTTGGGGAGGACGAGGACAGCAGCTCGGAGCGCAGTTCCTGCACCTCCTCCTCCACCAACCAGAAAGACGGGAAATTCTGCGACTGCTGCTACTGTGAGTTCTTCGGCCACAACGCGGTGAGTGAGGGGCTGCTCCCCAGCCACCCCTGGTCCTCCCACTGCGCTCTGCGGGCAAGACAGGACACAGCTGAGGTGGCTGGGGCTGTTCCCTGCCAGCCTGTGCATCCTTCCCCTTCATTCCCCTCCTGCCTCATCACCCTGCTGGTCCCCTTGCTCCCGACGCGCAGCTGCCTGCCCAGCCCTGGGGCTTCATGCAGCTGGCCAAACCCTGTGGCTTCTGGGTGGAAACGAGTTCAGTGGGGCTGTCCAGACTTGTCTCGCAGAGACCTCAGGGAAGGGAGGGGTTGGGGGGAGCACTGGGGGTGCTGGGGCTGCCTGTGTGTCACGCTGGCTTCATGTGCCTGCCTGGCTGATGGAGCTGAGCTCCTGCAGCCCCCAGCCGCTCCCACGAGCCGCAACTACGCCGAGATCCGGGAGAAGCTGCGTTCACGTCTCACCAAGAGGAAAGAGGAGCTGCCACAGAAACTAGGGCACAACAGCAGCTCAGGAGAGCCTGCTGTGGATCATCGCAATGTGGATGAGCTGCTGGACTACATCAACAGCACAGAGCCCAAGCCCTTGAACAGTGCCAAGGCAGCCAAGCGGGCACGGCACAAGCAGAAGAAGAAGGTGAGGCTGGGCAGAGGGAACTGCTGCCTGGGGCAGGAGGGAGGGGTTAGAGCAAGACTGTGCCCATTGCAGAGCTTTTTGCCTTCTCCCCCTCGCATCCTTTTGGTTTCTTGAACTCTCTGTCCTTTGGTGTCCTCTTTGGTGTCCCCTGAGGTGAGAGCAGAGGACACGTGGAAGTTTGGGGCTGTGGAGGATGTGGGGTGGCCAGTACTGCATGCTTGCCCTGGCGTTTGCTGTCTGCCCAAGCTGGTTCATGGCCAGCTCTGCGGCTCAGTGGCCTAAGCCACCCAGTCCTCATGGTTCATGTGTTGCAGGAAAAGGAGAAAGCCCAGTTGGAAGCAGAGGCCCAGAAGCGGGCAGAGCGTGCCCCTGCTGCCAGCCAGGCCAGGGAGCTGTCTGAGGAGAAGCTGCTGGAGTGGCCAGAGCTGGAGCTGGAGCGAGTGAACAGCTTCCTCAGCAGCCGGCTGCAGGAGATCAAGAACACCATCAAGGACTCCATCCGGGCCAGCTTCAGCGTCTATGACCTCAACTTGGATGTCAATGACTTCCCCAAGAAGGCAGCTGTCCTGGAGCAGAAGAATCTGCTCTCCCACCTGAATGGCTCCTCTGACCTGCAGGACATAGACCTGGCCCTGGCTCCCCTCAGCCTGGGCCCCACCAAGAGCCACAAGCTGCTGCGGGGGGAGCTGGGCCCCCGATGGGGTGAGGGGCCGGGAGAGCCACCGCCGGCCGAGAACGGGGTGGTGAAGCGCCTCAGCGCCGTGCCCAGCCTGTCCCGCATGATCTGGGTGCAGTCCAAGGCTGCGGACTCTGCTGCTGAGGGCAGCGGGCTGAGCCCAGAGCCCAAGGATGGACCGCAGCCCAAGGGGCTGGCCGAGCCGCCCGAGGCGG